CATGAACATATTTGATTGAGCTTTCGCTCAGCAAGTAGGAACTATATCTCGCAAAATAACTGTGAGTACACATGAATAAATATGCATGAGCTGATTATGCTTAATTATGATGTCTTATCATAGTCTTATTATCTTATCTTATCTTTCTTACTGATGGGCCCGAGTGCTCGCGTACCACTTGCGCAATCATCGGGACGTGAGGGTTTGCAAGGTCCCCCGCGACACCGTGATTATAACTTGAATGCCTCCCTTAAGTCGGAGGACATTATTTTTTTTTTCTTTTCTCCCTTGTGGAGCTTGAGTTACCTCCCTTAGGTCGGAGGCTGGTACGGCACTCAACTGAAATCATTCTTCTAAGTTCCTCTTTACTTATTAAGGTGTATGCAGCATGACATGGCATCGCATACAATACTTAAAGCATAAACATGTATATATATAACATGTGTAATTTTTTTTTTAAATCTATTCATGTTGTAGGCGAGATTCCTACTTACTTGATTTACAGAGCTGGAATCCACTTTTCGCCAAACAGTCTATTATCTTATTTGCTTATTTCTGAAAATGAACACCCATTGAGAGTGTGAGATTAACTGTCGTTTGCTATTCTATTTTAGCAACTTATGAAGGAATCTAACCATTTTCTTAAGGTAGGTATTCCTTTCATTTTCTGAAGGATAATTTACTATAAGGATCAATTTATTAGATCCTCAAAATTTTATTTTCCTTAATTGCCCTTAACATACTTATGTCTAGATTGAAAATCATTTACCAAATCTAGTAACTTATTCTCCATAATTTTCCTCATTGGACTTATTATGATATTAAGGCCCAATTCGGCCTAGAAATTTATTAATGGCATTCTAACTCTTAGGCCGCTGAAATTTAAACTCAAACAGAGTCTCTTAAATCAATGCAGGCGTTGGACCCACATCAAATTCTTGAAATCCTAAGGACCTATCGTGTTGGGCTCATAGGTGCCCGTCAGGATGATTTGCTCGATAACCCACTATGTTCTTTAAAGAAAGCATTTTTCTTAAAAATTTTCTTTATGAATACTTCTGTTAAAGCGAGGTTTAACACCATAATATTTTACTAAAATCACATCTCGGGTTCTTTGATCACTTTTTGTTAAAACCAACACTAGGTTAGTTTTGTTTCGTTAAAACTGTGCAGTTTCTGAAATCTGCGTTTTACTATATCTTAGAGTCGGATTTCAAAATTTTGTCCTTCATGAAAATTTCTCATCTCGTCGAGATCTTTCTATTGACACCGGCGGTATCAAAAACGGAGGTCAGAATCTCAACTTGAGTATTTGGCCATTGATGGTTTGTGTGAGAGAACGTGAGAGGAGAGAGAGAATGAGCGGGAATAAGAGAAGGAAAGTGCAAGAACCCTAAAAATTTCACTATATAAAGTATCTGATTAAGGCAAGATTACGTGCCTGATCTTATCCTCAATTATTTCCTCTAAACAGATTAAATTTATACTGATTAGAGGTAATTAGTTTAGCTCACGTAAGTTAATCTACTACTTACAATCCAATATCAATTTCTGAATAATTCAATATTGTTTTATATTCTTACTCACGTAATATTTCAAACTGTTTCAAGTCTTGAAATTAATTTTAGACTGAACAAATTCTAAATTTTAATTTTCTGTATTCTATCCC